TTCTTCCTCTTTTGAGGCCTGTTGTACGGGGGCTCAGTCTCTTAGTCATAGAATCCTTCAATAGTGCAACGTTAGGTTTGACTGTGTCCTTCAGTCCTTTCAGCCTGTGATATGCTGAGCGCCTCCTTTGGTCCATTTTCAAACCCTGTCCAGCTGCTGCACATTTCGTTTGGGAGACTTTAACTTCTCAAGGTACCCTTTGAAATGTTCTACTCAGCTCTTGGACTTCATCATTTCTTCCATTTGCTTTAGCTCCTCTGCGTTCAAGGGTGAGTTTCAGTCTCTTCTGACATCCACTTTCTTTCCTTCCTCCGTCTTTTTAATGACCCATTACTTTTTTAATGTTCGATGTTCTTGATGCCATCCACAGCTCAGCAAGTCTTCTGTGTGTCTAATCTGTTCTTCAAATGTTCTCAAAATTCAGGTGGGCTAGATTAAAGATCATTATTTTGGCGTTAGCGGACTTTTCTTCAACTTCCACAGGAACTTACATGTGATGATTTGATGGTGTGTTCGCTAGTTAGCCTTTGCCTTGTTTTGGCTGCTGTTTTGAACTCTACGTGCTCTCTTCCCACAGATGTAATCCATTTGATTTTTGTGTATTCCGTCTGCAAAAGACCACATGGATAGGAGCCGCTTATGTTGTTGAAAAGACATGAATGGATGAATGAGAATGAATAAATGAAGTCATGGTCTTACTAAGTTTTATCATGTGCTCTCCAACTTAGTTTCTATATGCAAGGCCATCCTTTCCAACTACTATACCTTCCTCTGTTTCCAACTTTTGCATTCCCATCACCAATAATCATCAAACATCTTGATTGTAAGCTTGATCAATGTCAGACCAAGGACGCTGTAGATCTCTTCAATTTCTGCATCACGAGCATTAGTGGTTGGTGCATACATTTGAATAACAGTTGTTTAATTGAATGTCCTTATAGCATATAGATATTATCCTATCACAGTGAGCACTGGGCTTCAAGGCGGATCTTGAAATGTTCTTGTGGACAATGAATGCGACATCATTTCTCTTGAATGTTGCATTCCCAGTCTAGGGAACCACATGATTTTCTGCTTCACAATGGCCACAAAAATACCTAGGATATTAAACTTGATGTGTCTCACTTCATTTCTTTTATTTCAAATTTTCCTGGGCTCACACTTTGTACAGTGCATGCCTGTTTATTAATGATGCTCCCGCAGTGTGTCTTTTCTTTTTGACTGGGGCCCCAACAGCAAATGGAGGTCCCCAGAGATTTATTCCATCTTCAGCGTTATGGGCGACTCTACTTTGAGAAGGCGTATTTTAAGTGCCTTCCAACTTGAAGGGGCTACATTCGACAATGTCTTGATGTAAGGTTTTCAGCCGCTAAGCTGCCAGAAGCAGGCAGCCTACGACTTCTACTGCCTTCTATGATTTTTGTTTTGAATCAAAATTACCTGCCTTAAGAATACTGACTTCTTTTATATTCACTCTTTCTATTACCATCTAAGCCAGCGGTTCTCAACCCCTTTGGGGGTCGATCATAACAGTAGAAAAATGACAGTGAGGAAGTAGGAGTGAAAATAATTTGATGGTTGAGGGGTCAGGACAACAGGAGGAACTGTACGAAAGGGTTGTGCCGTGAGAAAGGCTGAGAACCACTGATCTAAGCCATGGGAATCACTCCTTGATTTGTCATGTTTAATTAACTGGCTCATATTTATACAATTGTATTCCTTCAAAACTCAAAATTCTAGAAAGACAAATGATGTCATTTAAGTTAAAATTTCAATTAGCCAAGTCCTAAGAATGAATAAATTTAAAAGGTTTTATTGAATTTCCACTGTATTCTTTCAGATTTGTCAACAAGTGTTGAGTGGGGATGGAATTGGGTAGATAACTTAATAGTTTCTCTCTTGGAATTAATATTTTAGTTGCAAATGTCTTGTTTCCAAAATAGCCTCTGATGCACTATCGTAGATTTCTATATTCAACATTGTACGTTCTACCACTTACTATTTGTCAAAAATAATCTCCCTAAAAGTTTTCTTTTTGTTTGGTTTTCACAAAGCCAACAGAAATTCTAACAAGGTTAGAATGCCATTGATTAAACATTTTATTGTCTAAAGGCTATTCCTGCGGCAGGTGCACCCCTGCCAAGAGGCGGAGTGCTCAGAGCGGAAGGACGGGCAGGCGCATCCACTCTTCGGGGTCTCAGATCTGCAATGCCAGCTGAAGGGGACTCTCCTCCTTACTGAGAGTCCAGAGTCACAAGTGTGAGGGATGACAGACTGCTGTCAACTTCAGTCACACAGGTTTTGCCAAGTGCCACCACATACATGTTAGAAGCCAACACTGGAGCAGAAGGTAAGGAGAACACCACCCTGGCAATCTGAAAAGCAGCGAAGTGAGTGGCAAGAAGGGGAAACCAATCACAATGATCGATGTATCACCGCCCCCACCCCCAGGGGGACGAACAACAGAAATGTGGGTGAAGGGAGACAATGGTCGGTGTAAGATATGAAGATAATAATACTTCATAAATTATCAACGGTTCATGAGGGAGGGGGGGTGATGAGGAAGGGAGGGACAATTAAGGAGCTGATACCAAGGGCTCAAGTAGAAAGAAGATGTTTTGAAAAGGATGATGGCAACATATGCCCAAATGTGCTTGACACAATGGATGGATGGATGGATGGATGGATGGATGGATGGATGGATGGATGGATGGATGGATGGATTATGCTAAGAACACGAAAAGCCCCCAGTAAAATGATTTAAAGAAAGGAAGGCACTCCACCATGGCCAGGGAGAGGCCCAGGACCAGGGACTGGGGCAGACGGGGTGCCAAAAGCAGCCAGAATAGGGGCATCTGGGGTCGAGACAACAAGTAACTGGAAGCCAAGTGGGCTGGCCATCCTGGCAGACATGGGTGGCACAGGGTGATAGAGGACTGGGTGTGTTGTCCTCATCAGGGAATAAATCCCGTGGAGGTGTACAGATACAAGGATAATGAACTGGTGGCTCAGAGGAGGGGATCAACCCCATCCGCGGGCAGTCTGGGAGGCCAGGCGGTCGGGTGCTGAAGGGCCACAGCCTTAAAAACCCTGTGGGCAGTTCTATGCCGCACCCACGGGGCTGCTGTCAGTTGAACCGTAACAGCAGCAATCATGAGTTCGAGTTTGCTGTCAGAGTCTGTGACCCTGTGACAATGGGCTGGCCTCTGCTTCATGTCAGTGGGAAAGTGGGACACAGGTGACACTATGAGCCTTGGGATGGAAATGATCCCTGTCGTGGATGCTTTATCTGGTTTGTAGAAGGGTGGGAGAATAGGAGATTGGAGTAGGGATTGACCAAATCCTTTTAGTTCCACGGACTGAAAGACAGGGAAGAGATGAGTCCATTCGGAAAATAACCAGTACGTTAGGAGATAGTAGGCTGAATCACTGGGAGATGTATTTTGAAGAAAACGTAGTAAAAGCCTGGGTCACTCCGTCGTCTGTGGGGTGGTTCTTCTGTCACACGGGTAGCTGTGATTGAGAACTGGCTCGATGGCCCCTAACAACAAACACCATCGTGCTAGTCGGTCTGTGTAGCCAAATAAGTTTTCCCGTCAAAGTTTTGAAATAAAATCTGAGATTAAAAAGATCCCCATGAGAGAAAGGGAAGATAAAAATCAACCAACGGGCAAAAACACAAGAACACATCAACACATCGATCTCATCACAACACTGTTGACACTCGTGCCATGTCTGAAAACACTGACCTTGGTATCCCCCCGAACCAAGTACTTTTGGATCATAAAACATTCTCAGAAAATGTTCATGGCCTTCCAAGATTCTGCTGCTATTTCATCTCCTCCTTTCCTCAGGATTGTTCTAAGGCTGGGTTCCCGCTGTTTTCCTTAAAAAGCACCCTTCCCCTTTTCTCTCCTCTCCCTAAACATGTTAGATGGTTTCCCTGGCTCTGGTCAGGAACTCAGCCGCGAGATAGTGTTCTCTACTTTCCGGTTTTCCTCGGGGTTCAGTCTTTCCCCATCGCACCTTTTCCTCCTTTGAACAAGGCTCTCCTAACAAATACAAGCAGGCAGACTCTTCTGACACTGCTTCAAAGACAATAGGAAATTGTGAATAAAATTTCAATAAAAGTGATCTATTTTCCTAAGACCAAGTAAAAATATCAAGGTCTCTCCATGAAAGGCATTCATTTGTATTTAAACCAAGGTTTTTAATATCAGTGGGGATCAAGTACATTTTATTTATTCCAGATGGCCCAAGCTCATTACAGTAAATAAACATGCCCAGCCAGCAGCCCGTATAAAATACTCCAAGTAGATGTAATTATTTCAAGAAAAAGAAAACTGTTATACATTAAGACATATATTTAATTGAAAGAAAAACTGTCATAAATCTGATAGATAAAATTCATGAACCAGATTGCAAATTGGCGTTTTCCTCTTGCTTAGATGTCAGAAAATACATAAAATAATCATTAAAGAGTGAGCCTTTTATTCTCTTTAAATTTATGAGCCTGGAAATATGTATACAAAAAAATGTTTTAATACCACATAGCTCTTGGCACTTCAGATCTAAGAATCACACAACTTCAATTCCATGTATGTGCTGATTCTGTGTTAACACATGATTAACAGAAGGAAAATAACAAAGCTTGATAAGACTTATATCCAGAAAACATCAATATCAACTTTAGGATAGCATTTCTCTTTCAGCCAGCATTGAGATAAGAAGCTGGTTCCATTCTATGCTATAGCACTGGTTTACTACAGGTGGGAAGGGGTCTAGGAGCAGAGGGATTCTGCCCCCTGCCAGGGCACAGTTAACAGTGTCTGGAGACAATAGGTGTATGTATGCACTACACTGCGACTGCAGGTCACAGTACAGCCCCCAGAGCAGAGCACACCCAAGCCCTAGTGGGTGAGCCACCCTGTCCACAAAAAGAAGCCGAAACAAAAGCGAGGCTTTCAAGGCATAAAGGAGAGTCACTGTTTGCCACCTACCTTGGATGCCTGGGGCGTTGAGATCACGTGGACGGTGCTGGGTTTGACCCCGTTCGCCTTGGGCCTTTTATAGAGAGCAAATCTGCTTTTCCTCCGTCCGCGGTCTCCATTCGGTAAAGCACCATTGTACCTACGAGCAGAGATGAACGAGGGAGGTCAGGTATTTGTCAATTTCCAGCTTTGAACGAATAAAGGTTTGGGTGAAATAAGGGGAGAGAAGGAAGATCATGAAAGAATCACCGCGAGACCCCCACAACCAGGCGAAAGAGCCGACTTCGGCCGGAGTGAAATCACTAGCACTTCCAGAAACGGAGTTTAAGAGCGAGGTCCAGGTAACTGTAGGTTTCCTATGCAATAAAGTCAGACACCTCAAGGTTTTTTTGGTACAAGGCAGTGTATAAATAAGCAAAAGTGTATTCTGCAGAGGCCAGATTAGTGCTGTTTCCATTCTGTAAGCATCCTTCTAATGGGCCCTGGAGAAACAGGCAAGAAATATTTTTAAATGAACTAGTGAGAAAACAACGTACTAATTAAACCTCATCACTCACTCTCCTATCATGTTAATGTTACCTGTAGGGTTTTTATTTGTAAGATGACCAAATTGAATTGTTTGCTTTCTTAAAAGTTCGGAATTCAGGACATTGATTCCCTCCATTTGAATGCTACATTGTCATGCTAACAACAAACAAAAACAGTTTGCAAAAATTAAATGATAACCATGACTCTACCTAAAGGGGGTGGGGGGGGTGCCCATAAAAAAGACACAGAAGTACAATGATCCGTTTTAGTCCATAAACTGTCAAATTACTGAAAAAGCCACCTGGAAGACATAAAACGCCCTTCAGCAAACGTCCTGTATTTACTAACACCGGTGGTTAAAAGAACGGCGGGAATACAGTTAGCTTTCCAATTTTCGACTTATTTGTTAGCGCTGGGTGTTCCCTTTCCCAGGCTGCCATATGGACCCGGCTCTTCCCTCTCTCCACCTTGACAGAGACTCCCTTCGAGAACCAACCTGCACACAGACTGGCAATCATGAAATGTTACAAGGATAAACAACAATTCCACGGCTCCTTCAAAACCCTGGAGCTGGGAACCAGCTGTCTGGCTGGCAGCTTGTTCCCCTGCCCTGCGTGTCTCTCAGCGGACCCCCAGCCTCCCATGCTTCTGCAAGGCCAGCGCCAGAACAGTCACTGTGGAAACCAGGGGGCTTTGTGCGTCTGGTTTTCATTTTAGTAGCAACGCGGTGAGGATGGATTTAAATTATCACCCAGAGTTACTCCTGCTGTGTTTATAATCTCTTTCCATTTCCATCACAAAAGAATATTAGCTAGCCAGACAGGTTTCTTTGCTAGAAGAAAGAAATAACATATTTTTCTCAGGCGAAATCAGAACAATGTACATAATTTTCTTAAACACACATGGAATCGCTACAGTAAATTACCCATGAGTAATAACAAAAACAGAAAAATGTAACCACACTTTAATAGATTTCCATAACGTTTAAAGCAAGGTGGGTATTTTACATCAAGAGGAACGCAGATGGGTGGAAAAAGCCCGGGCTCTCAACACCTTAGAGGAGGCGGTCCACTCCCGGGCCTCGTGGCAATGCGCACACATCCTGGCTGTGGTTCCCAGGCCCCCACCGCTGTTCTGCACCTTTCTCCTAAATATGCTGTTCTCATCTAGTCTATTCCAACTCACGGGGAGCCCCACCTGCGCAGAGTGGAACTGCTCCCCCGAGTTTTCAGGTCAGTGGCCTTCAGGACCGAGGGCCAGGCTTGGCTCCTCAATGCTCCTCGGGGCGGGCTCTCACTGCTGCCCTGCGCGGCTGTCGAATGCATCGGGATGAGTTCTCTCAGCTACCCATGGAAAATGGGATCCCGTCTGGGGAGAGTAGGACGGACACTGTGGGAGCATCTGCTCAGGTCAGCGTTCCACCTGGAATCCATCCCTTCGCTTCAAAGAGGAGCCCCCAGCACCACACTTGCATGGAGCTGACTAGCCAGGGCTGGACCCCAACTCGGGCTAGCCAATGGCATTCACATCCCTGAAAATTCAAACTTGGGACCTAGGGAGGAGCTGCCAATCTCTGGCGGAACTCTGGCGTGTAGGGATATCTCCGTCTTTCAGGTAAAGCATGAGGCTGATGAACAGAGACAAGGAGAAGAGCTGGGAAAGGGGTCCTTGGAGGCCTCCATCGGCCCAGCTGGGCCCTGGCTGGGGGGGGTGGGGGGTGTTCTGCTTCTTATACCCAAAAGGCTTATCTAATATAAGGAACGGAAGGGAAGGGACCGCCTCCCCAAACGTCAACCATAGTATATGCAGACATTTTAAATTGCCTGAGTGTAGATGCACAGGTATCAAGGTTAAGCAAGGAATATGCTGGTCTCCCTGAAGGCTGCCTATTTGCTTGATACATCTAAGTGATGGTCAGGGAAGGGAAAAAAAACCCTACTGGAACTAATTAAGGTTGACAGTGGAAAGAGCAGTGTGAAGACCAGACAAGCTTCTTACTAGGTAAGCTATGTGGCCATCATTCCATATTTACCAGGCCAAGTAGCTGGTCAGTATCGCCTGCCCTGCCTTCACCGATCTCTCTCCTTAAAAGGAGAGACACCACGGCAAGTGCGATACACATGAGGGTGTTCTGGTGGCACTGCAGGGAAAGCACACAGTGCCAATGACCGTGAAGCTGGCACAGGCCCAGCAACATGTCATTCTGTTACATGGGCGTTCGTCATGGGTGGGGGTGACTTGACGGTAACTCACCAGAAGATGCACTAGGAGCTTGTATCTGGAGAGGACACAGCTTCCCCGGCCTCACAGTCTGGGCAGTCCGACTAAGTGGGAGGTACAAAGTGACTGCAGGTACAGAAAGGCCAGGGGGGTGACGGGTGGCTAGGTATGGCTAAAGCTTGAAGTGCGAGTGGAGAGGATGCAGAGGGAAAGGAAGCTAAAAAGTAGAGAGGGACCAGATTCGCATCGCCTACTAATAAGGAGATAAGGAGCATAAGATTCTGCCCCAAGGAGAACGGGGGTCTGGTACGATATAAGCCAAGAACTGGTAAAAGGTCTCCCAGGGCAGTACATGCAGGATAGAAGAGAGAGGGTATCCAGGCCAAAGGCCAGGGGCTCCAATACAAGACGGAACACACAGAGGGGGAAGGTGGTGCATGTCAGGGTGGATCCCCCCAAAGATATGTCCATGTCCTGAAATGCTGGAATATGACCCTTATCTTGGGGGGCAGGGTGGGGTGAGGGGTGGAATGGGATGGCGTGCAGGATCTCAAGATGAGAGCATCCTGGAAGGTCCGGGTGGGCTCAGCATTCATGTGGGCACGGTCATATGAGAGGCATGCAGTGGAGAAACACACACAGAGGAAGGAGGAGATGGCCAAGGGGCAAGCGGGCAGAGACGGAAGTGGGCAACCATGCACCCAGCAGTGCCTGGAGCCACCAGAAGCTGCACCAGGCAGGGAGCGCGGCAGAGGGAACGTGGCCCTTGGACATCTTGATTTCAGACTGCTGGTCGCCCGGACGGAGAGATTTCTGTGGCTTCAAGGTACCACATCTCGGTCACTTGCAGCAGCGGCCACAGGAAACAAACGCAAGGAGAAACCATGAAAGCTGAACCAAAGCAGCAAAGATGGAGAGGAGGAAGACGAGACGAGCGAAACATGTGGAGAGCTGTTTTCCCTACTAAGTGAGACTATCAGATGACCTGTCAATCATTACAAAGGGCTGGCTGCCCAAGTTCAAGAGCTCTTGATGTGATCCCTGAGGCTGCTAACCAGAAGGTCCGTGGTGCAAACCCACCAGCCACGTGGAGGCAGAAGCAGGAGGCAGTCCGCTTCCGTGACTTTCGACCCCAGACGGCCCGGTGAGCAGCTCTTCTCTGTCCAGGGTGTCATTGGGAACAAAACCACAGCACTGCATTTATACAAGGCTCAAGTAATGCCTGGCGCGACTCTCATGGAAGTCCTTAACTTTCAAAGACAAAAATCAACAGCAGCTGCAGGCCTGCCTGGATGTGCAGGTTGAGGGACCGAGAAAGGGCAACCAGTGTGGTGACACTATTGAAAGTGGGACCAGGAACTACAGGGACATGTGAGGGCAGGGCCTGTATAGGAGCAAAATAGACACCTCTGGTGCTCTGCTCACACAGGGGGCGTCAGCCTTTCACCAGACATGCGGGGGCCCTCTGGACTCCTGCAGACACCCCTGGGGTAGAAGATGCCCAGCCAATCACTGCACTAACTCCTGACCCACAAAATCAGGAGACAAAGGGACTTATCTTTTTAAGTCAATAGGCTGTAAGGGTGTTGGTTACACGAGGGTACGTGCAAAAGGAACGGTGGTAGGGCTCTGGTTCACATACACTCACTCACTCACTCTGCCATCAAGGGGACTTCAGCTCACGGCGACCCTGTAGGACAACGATGAAAGGTGGCCCCTGTGGGTTTCTGAGCCTGTACCTTTATGGGATTGGAAAGTCTCATCTTTCTCTCTCAGAGTGGTCGGTAGATTAGAACTGCTGACCTTCTGGTTAGCAATCCAGCTCATAACCACTTCACTGTATGCACAGCTTGATTCCAAACAAAAGGTGTTTATGTAGGTGTCTGCAATCAGTAGATGGTTGCAGACAAGTTCTCTCCATTATACATTTGTCTCAGTTTCATTGGGAGTGCCTTCCTGCCTACGTCCATCCTCCCTCACCCCCTTCAGCCCCCAAGGATATTTTTTGTGCCATGGAAAATAGGATTTTGAGGTAAGGACTATCAAATGATTAATAGAACTCCAGTGGACATCCTCCCAAATCATTGAAGCTTTGCAACTGTTTAAATGAACACTACCCCACACAAAACCACGGTCTTTAGAGGGATCAAGTATTTTAAAGACGATCAGGCAGACTTCAAAGATGGATTCAAGGCAGCGAGGTCACATCAGAAGATGGTGGCATTTTTTGAGGAGGGGGGGAGGGTTCCGAAGAGCTAATCTTGATGGCTTTTCTCAAAGGGCACAAGATGACCAGGGGGGCTGTAATAAAAACACTTAAGAAAAGTGGTGAGATAAAGGCCAGGAATGTTGCAACTAAGGGAAATTTTCCATCATGACGAAGTGCCTGCT